TTTAAACACTAGCAATAACCAAGGTTGAGTATCTTTAAGAGACAGCTGGCTTTTTGTCTAATTACCTTGTTAAATAGCTCTAAGCATATATTTGTGATAAAGTACTACAATATTTAATAAAACTTTAATACATAGTTATCAAAAGAAAAAAAAAAAAAAAAAAATACTGTATATATATATATGTATAAACAAATTTATAGCAATTTTTTAAACAAATTTGGTTAAAATTGCTTACAATTTAAAAGATAATATATATATATATATTTTTTCACTTTGATAACCTTGTACTAATTTATTAAAATTTTTGTAATTTACAGTATATCCTGGTCACTATATCAAGATCTTAGAGCATAAATCAGTTATGTCCTGGGTACTATGTGATAAGTAGAACTTTCAGTCCCATTTATACCCAACTGTTTAGGAAATAACTATTACAAATTAACTATCTAATTTACATATTAGACAAATATCTAGCTGCTATAAAGTGCCCAAGTATAGTTATCGCACTGATATTGCCAACAAGCTTCACATATGGTGCTACCTATATTTAAAAACCTGCTATAGCTTGGTACTTAGCTACCTATGTTCAAACTGATTATATCTTGTCTTTTTCTAGACTTATTCTACCAACATTCAAGCAGAATATATTTTCTCTTACTTCTGTATAATACAAATATATATATCAATTTACAAAAAAAAAACTTCTTTTAAGAGCCTATTCCTTCTTTTAAACTTATTTTACCTAAAATTTTGGTAATATCTTCCCGAACTCAATCCACTTAGATCCTAGCAGATTTATACTACCTCCTACTTCTATGTAAGACTAATATATATGCTAAAATTATGAAGGAAAATATATTTAAAAAAAACTCTAAAATAGAAATTGTTCTAAAAAAGAAAACAGAACTCAAAAGAGAAAATAAAACAACAAGAAAAAAAGAAAGGAGAACCTAAACCGATTCTAATATAAATAAAAATAAATAAAACAAGCAAAAAAAAGAAAAATTTAAGCAATCTAAATACACTATTATAACCCATACTAGATGATTTAAAAATTATATATCAGATGCAACATCTGTATACAGTATCTTTGTTGTAAGACTAAACTTAATTTTAAAATTCTCTCCAACCTATTTTCAAATCTTTTTAATAATCTAGTCCATATCTCAAGCCAAATACTACTGCTATACTAGGATCTGACTCTCTATATATGGTGCCAACAATGACAAAGATCATGACATTTCTGTAAAAGCACCGTCACTCAAGTACTCGTGTCTTAAGCCACTTGCTGCTACCACCAGAGATTCCTTTTTTGACCAGGGCTTGTTTTAGAGCCTGTGCAACATATTCATCTCCAAACATGTAGTTGCTATTTACTGGTCTATTCAGATTTGGTAAGTAAACAATGGCGATCTTTTTGAGGGGTAAACCAAATTCCTACTTTTTATGAAAAAATTTTGAAGATCAACAGAAAAACGATAAGAGATAAAGAGAAACTATTTGAGCTTCAAACTAATTTAAAAGAATATGAGTTTTCTTTTTTATAGTCAAAACCTATTGCCCAACACCTGTTTAATGTTTTTTCAATGAGTGATAAACTCTGGGCTTGTTGGCAAGTAGCATATGAGAACTACCTCTAAACAACAAGTGCTGAGACTATGCAGTGAGTGATAAACTTTGAGTTTGTCGACAAGTAGCGTATGAGAACTACTTCTAAATAACAGATGCTAACTTATTGTCTAGTATGTCAAGTGCCAGCTTGTAAAGTCTTTTTTTGCAATAAAATATTTTTTGGAAAATGTGATTCAAGTGATCATCAGAAAGAGTTCATAATAAAACTTGTAAGAGATAATATTAATAAAAGCCATAATATATATTTATTATATATTTAATATATTATACTTGTATATATATACTATATTTTATTTTTTAGTAAATATACTAATTATTTTTTGCAACCTACTAAAAAAACAAAGATTATATGTTAAAGATTTAAAATTATAACATTTTTGATTAAATATAAATTACTTAGCAAGTTTTTAAATATAGCAACCATGATGTGTGATTTAGTAAAACCGTATATATTAAATCACCCTATTAGGGTGTTTTTTATATAATTATACAAGATTGTACAGTACGTATTTATAAAATTTTTTAGATACGTACTGTAAAAACTTCGAACACTAAGATTTTGAGATATGTTAAACACCATAGTGTGATTTAGCAAAACCGTTTATATATATATATTACGTATAAAAAAAATTAAATCACCCTATTAGGGTGGTTTTTATATAATTACAAAGATATATTTACGTATAAAATTTTTTAGATACGTACTATAAAATTCGAACACGAGATACGTATCAGATATAGTAGTTGTATTTAAGCTTGGTTAAAGTGAAATTCAAAATACAATTTTGTATTAAAGGCTATATAATACGTATATAACCTCATGCTGAACCTCTCTCGGAGTCTTAGGTACCCCAAAAATATCGGAACGGTAAATAAGTTGTGTGCCTGCCCACAAAAAATTGTGCAACAAAATCATAAAATAACTTTGGCCATTGATGGCACTTATATAAACTGCTCAATGATTAAATATCATAGTTGTTGTTGAGCTTTTTCATGTTCAACTATAAAATCTAAAATGTCAACTACTCACGATTCCCCACCACCCATTCCGCCAAAGCCTAATAATACACCAGACAGGGGTTCGAAAGTTGGTAATGTTACCAACATTGATCAATTACTAAATTTGATTGATAATGAACTCGGCAACTCTCGTTCTGAAGACGAAACTTGGAATCAAGCAACAACAAGACAGCCAGCTCCTGTAGATCCAAAACATCAAGCTATGCCGTTAAATATAAATACAAACGCACATTTTTCTGAAACTAATACCGCAAGCTCGGTGCGGCCACATCTAATGCAACCTCAACACGCAACGACAGCATATAATTATGGCAGCAGTTCTTCGAATGCATCACACGTTTATCCTCCACAACCAAATTACAATCCTGCACAGCAATATTATAATAATAATAATTATAATGGGAGACAGTATCAATATCAAGGAGCGTATACCGGACCTTATTATTCGTCATATCCTCGTGACCTAACTTCTCAAGGATGGCCCGCTCAGGCTCCGGCTTATCCGCCAAACTCTAATATAAGGCCTTTACCTAATCCGCCTTCGAATACAGTCTATCCTTCTCATAATCAATCTGCTCAATATTCTCATAACATGTATCCATATGGAGCCCCATACGTACCTCCGACGACAAATGTACCAACAGCATATCCTGTAATGCCCGATTATCATAAATATATAGATAAGCCTGCGGGACCACAGCATGTTCAACATATTGATCAAAACATCCAACCACGAAGGAGTCCTCAACAACCTACACAGGTAAGTATACTTATAATCGGGGTTTTCGTCTAAATTCAGCTCATTAATCATAATTTACTGTTTTTAGCCCGTATACCCACAGGAATTGCCTTATGACGCATATCCAACCGATTATTCACATAAGTGAGAGAGCTTGATATAATTTGAACCGTGATGATTACGTTATTAACATAATTACTGACAATTTAAATATGAAATTGTCTTTTAGTTATCCGCATTCATCTGGCCATGCACCTAATATGTGGGCGTCGACTACTCCGCAAATGACTTCAATACAGTCCATAAGTGTAATACCAGAAGTCAAAAAACCACATTCGACTAACCCCCGACCGTTTAATCCCGCATTATTATCGTGTATAGCACTAGCATTTCGAACTAATATTAATTTGGGGACTCATACGAAGGGTGCATTAGAATATCCAGAAAGCTTTACAGGCAAAGATGCCGTGGTATTTTTTTTAATTCCATTGATTATTCAATATTCGTGAATCGGCTTTATATATTTATTGTATACTAAGCAATGAATTTAAATATAATCAAATAATTGTATATCATTTGTTCATATTAGAGCACTATACACTCCCTTGTTCAGCATGAAATGTCCGATATTTCTCGTCATATTGCGTTGTCAATGGCTCGTTCATTGGAAGCCCAACTTTATTTTCATTCAGTCTACTGGGCCAATGTTACTGTAATTAAAGACACAGAAGATGAAGTTTACGTATTCCTAAACCCGGATCCTGAAACTCCCACAACTGTCGAATTGGATGAAGATTTTCCAACAGGAGTTTTTCCTATTATTGCAAAATGCTATAGTCCTCGTTGTAGTATTGATGGTAAAGGTTGTTATTCTAGGACTTGTCCCAATTATGTTCCAGGAGTGGTTAGTAAATATTTTAATTATAACTTTAATCTTGTCAATGTTTTTTGTTTGGCAATTCTTACCTTCATATTGTAGGATGAAAAACCGCCAGATCCTTCTATGAGAAGACCAGAAAGCTTGACGCCTACTGATGTTGTGGAAACTCCGGTGGGTATAGATTAAATACTAATTGCTTTCAAAATTTTGGCACGCCAATACCTCGCTTAAT